GCTACCTGTCTACCACTTTGAGCCACAGCTCCACTTTTGGTTTTCTGGTGATTAATTGGAGGTAGGACTCTTACAGACTTTCCTGCCCAGGCTGGTTTTGAACCATGGTCCTTGGATCTCAACCTCCTGAGTATCTAGGATTATAGGTATGAGCCACCAGTGCCTGGCTGCTGCTGCTTTTTCTTTCTTTCTTTCTTTCTTCCTTTTTTTCCTTCCTTTTTCTCTCTCTCTTTCTTTTTTTTTTTTTTTTTTGGGTCCGGTCATGGGGCCGGAACTCTGGGCCTAGGCGCTGTCCCTCAGCTCTTCAGCTCAAGGCTAGTGCTCTACCACTTGAGCCACAGCACCACTTCCGGCTTTTTTCTTTTTGCTTATGTGGTGCTGAGGAATCGAACCCAGGGTCTCGAGCATGCAAGGCAAGCGCTCTACCACTGAGCCACCTTCCCAGCCCTCTCTCTCTCTCTCTCTCTCTTGTGCTGATACTGGGGCTTGAACTCAGGGGCTCTGGCTCTCCATTAGCATTTTAGTTCAAAGCTGGTGCTTTACCACTTGAGCCATACCTTCATTTCCTGCATTTTGTTGGCTAATTGGAGATCAGAGTCTGGGAGATTTTTCTGCCCAGGCAGTCTTTGAATGGTGATCCTCAGATCTCAACTTCCTGAGTTAGCTAAGATTACAAATATAAGCCACTAAAACACCCAGCATCACTATTGGTTAGATAAGTAGATGTGTAGACGATTAAGTTGTTGTATGATCTTGTTGGACCTCTGGCTCTTGCACTTTCATGGGTAAAATGAAAGGATTGGAATAGAACGTGTAAAACAAAAGGGAAGTCCCCTTGCGGAAGGGATAGGGGTCCTGGCCCCATTCCCAGGGCTGCTATAGACACCCTCAAACCTTGGTTCTAACACTTGCTATATAGCTTATACCAGCCATGGCTCCATGTGAGACCACCTAATTCACTCTGGAAGAGAGGCCCACTTATAAGGAGTTTTATGTTTTGTTTTTTTTCCATCATGGGGCTTGAACTCTGGGCCTGGGCACTGTCCCTGACCTCTTCAGCTCAAGGCTAGCACTCTACCACTTGAGCCATAGCGCCACTTCTGGTTTTCTGGTGGTTAATTGGAGATAAGAGTTTTATGGACTACCCTGCCTGGGCTGGCTTTGAACTGTGATCCTCAGATCTCAGCCTCCTGAGTAGATAGGATTACAGGTGTGTGCCACCAACCTCCGGCTGCATAAGTAGTTTTGAGACTTTGAAGAGGGCACTTTGCCTGGGATCTCTAGTACCCAGTTTAAAAACCACTAGGCTGAGAGCTAAGATCTCTCTTGGGCCTAGGTACTTGGACTGGGAGTTGTGGCTGGTGATGCCTCTTTTCTGTGAGTTCCATCTCCCAACTACCAAATCAACACCAGGAGTTCTCAATCATGGACTGTTGACATTTGAACAGGATAATTCATTGTTGTGTTGATTTTGCTGTGTGTTTTATTTAGCAGCATCTCTGGTTTCTACCAACCCTAGTCAAAATAAGCTGAGTGCCAGTGGCTCATGCCTGTAATCCGAGCTATTCGGAAGGCTGAGGGGCTGGGGAAGGTGGTTCAGTGGTAGAGTGCTTGCCTTGCATGCATGAGGCCCTGGGTTTGATTTCTCAGCACCACATAAGCAGAAAAAGCCGGACGTGGCACTGTGGCTCAAGTGGTAGAGTGCTAGCCTTAAGCTAAAAAACTGAGGGACAGTGCCCAGGCCCAGAGTTCAGGCCCCACGACCACCAACAGAAGAAGAAGAAGAAGAAGAAGAAGAAGAAGAAGAAGAAGAAGAAGAAGAAGAAGAAGAAGAAGAAGAAGAAGAAGAAGAAGAAGAAGAAGAAGAAGAAGAGGAAGAGGAAGAGGAAGAGGAAGAGGAAGAGGAAGAAGAAGAGAAGAAGAAGAAGAAGAAGAAGAAGAAGAAGAAGAAGAAGAAGAAGAAGAAGAAGAAGAAGAAGAAGAAGAAGAAGAGGAAGAGGAAGAGGAAGAGGAGGAAGAAGAAGAAGAAGAAGAAGAAGAAGGCTGCTGCGGCTGAGACCTGAGAATTGTCATTCAAAGTCAGCCAGGGCAGGAAAGTCTACAATACTCTACCTCCAATTAACCAGAAATGGAAGTACCCTTGAGCAAAAAAGCTTAGGGACAGTGCTCAGGTCCTAAATTCAAGCTCCAGGACCAGTGTGCACACCCACACACATATACCAACATACCCCAAACACAATAAAAAGTGTCTCTAAGCCTGGCACTCATACAAGTAGTCCTAGCTACTCAGGAGGCTGAGATAGAAAGGATCACAATTCAAGGTCAGCCTAGGAATACACACAAGACCCCTTCTCAACCAATAGCTAGGCATGGTGATAGATGTCTTTCATCCCAGGTATCAGGAGTCTGAGGTCAGGAGAATTGAAGTTCTAGGCCAACCTGGACAGAAAAGTCTGGGAGAGTCTATCTCAATGGAGGAAGCTGCTAGAGTTAGGGAATAAACTTGTCATTTCAGCTCCCACAAAATAGATGTTTCATTCTAGGCTCATCCTGGAGCTGGGAGCAAGACTTTATCTCAAAAGTAATCAGTGCAGCTGGACCAGTGCACAGGCTCACGCCTGTGACCCTAGCTACTCAGGAGGCTGAGGTCTGAGGATCACAGTTTGAAGCCAGCCTGAGCAGGAAAGTCCATAAGACTCGACCTCCAATTATCAACCAAAAGGCAACAATTATCATCACTGTGGTACTAGAAGTAGAGCACTAGCCTTGAGGGAAAAAAAACTCAGGGACAGCACCCAGGTCCAGAGTTCAAACCCTACGACCGACCAAAAAAAAAGGCCCTGTTACACTGAGAATCTTTAGCCCTCCCCAGTTACAGAGAGGCCAGGCTGGCTAGAAGGCATCACACAGCAAGTTTGGTTGGACCCAGCAGGCAGGGAGGCCAGGGCTACACAACAGTAACACAATGGAGGGACAGTGTGCCAGCAGGCTGACTGATGTGGTCTCACCCCAGAGGGAGGGAGTTTTTCAGAACTCTCATTCCCGGATTCCCAATCAGTCACAGGAGGGCCCAGGGCAGCTTCCCAGAATGGGCAGAGGGGGTGTGGGAGTGCTGGTGGTGTGTGTAGAGGATTCTTTCCTTCTGTAGATAATTTCCTGGCATTGGTCACTGCTGTCTGATTGGTGGAGGTCTGAAGGGGAGGAACTTGGGGGGGGGGTCTGGGTTCTGGAGGCCATCTGGCTCTGGGATTGATTTGCTGAAAAGTCTGGAATTTGGGGTCTAAAAGACTTGAGCCTGTAGAGCTGGTACTAAATGGTGGCTTGTTTCCCACCCCACCCCCTTCCCAAGGGAGGTGGGAAAATTGGGTACACACTCTTTAGGGCCGAAGGTGAAGAGGCTGTCCGCATCTTCACAAGTCATCTTTTGCCCTGAGGTAGAGGGCCCTGAGAGGAGACAGAACAGGAAGGAGGCTGGGGGGGAGGGGGGGGGAAGGGAGGGGGGGAAGGGAGGGGGGAGGGAGGGAGGGAGGAGAAGGGGGAGGGAGATACTGGGCGGGCCACAGGCTGTTCTGTTCCCAGTGTTTACCCTCCAACTCACTCCACCTGGAGGCTCAGGCCACCCAGAAGCAGGGCAGCTCCGACGATCGATGAGAGCACAATCCTGGCTTTCCACAGATCATGACTTCCTATAGGGAACACAAGAGGCCGTGGCTGATCCTGGGGACTACACCCGTCGATGCTGGGGAACACAGAGGACTCAGGGATCCGGGCAGGGCGGGGCGAGGTGGGGAGTAAGGACCTGGGAGACAGCGCTTTCGGGGCCAGCAGGGCGCCTCGGTGCCCTCGCAGGTGGAGCAGTTGTACAGGATGGTGCTGCCCCCTGCCGGAGACAGCGGGAAGTGCGCTGGAGGGGGAAGCCCAGACTTCCACTCTATCAGCTCCCCGACTTCCTCCCCCAGCAGGGCAGCTCTCCCGACTACCCTGGACGCCCCACGCCCGCCCGTCCAGGCTACGCCTTCCGATTTCTACTCACGGCAGGCGGGGGCGCAGAGACCTGAAATACGAGACCAAAGAGAGCACGGGTGGCTGAGCTGCTCAGCCACCCACCACATTGCCGCATGTCACTAGGCATCCCCAACTCCATGCCCTTCCCTGACAGTACCTTCCCTGGTGTACTGGGGGATCTTGGTCTTTTGAAGCCATTGCCAGTAGGGAAGAAGTGAAGAGAGGGACCCTTTGATCTCTGGGGGGTTAAAAGGACAGCCATACTGCCCTGAGCCTCGGCAGTGACAGCTCAACACACTTCTACACGCAGTTCTGTCCCTGATCAGCCCTCCAGTCTGCCCTCCACCTTGCCCTGCCTCCCATTCCTCTCCTTGGTGTCCTCCCAAGTTCCAGGTTTTCCCTTTGACCTCACCTATAACCCTCAGGACTCTGTGAGTCTTTTCTGTGACTTTGTTCATGGTTAGCTCATCTGTGGAGATGAGAAAGGACCAGTGATTTCCTATCACTGATGAGAATTTTGCGGTCTCTTCTGCTTTCCTGAGAACCAGAATTCTCCCAGAGGGAGAAGTCAGAGAGGGCTGTGGACTGAGTCAATGACTTGTTTGATACAAGTCTGGGGCCTCACCCTTGATGGTCTTACCTAAGGCAAAGGCTGAGAAATCTGGGACAGCCCAATCCTTCCACCGGGCATCTATTCCGCTGGTGATCCGAGCCAGGCGGCCTGGCAAGTCATGGGCTGGCAGGCGACAAAAGATACAGGCCTGGCCCACTGCCAGGAAAACCCCACCTAAAGCCAGCACCCACATGAAGCCTGCTGGGGGAATGGGGTGGGACCTCAGCCCACCTGGGTTAAGAAAGGCCTCAGAATACACTGTAATCCTGGTTCTAGCCCTTGGCTTGGGATGTTCTAGAGTGTTCTGAAACAATGCCACTGGAATAGGGCTTCTGTTATAAAAGAAACAGTAACCTTTACAAGTTTGTGGTTGCAAAAGAAATTTTATTTTTCTTCTTGTAAGTCATCAGTGATAAATAATGAGCAATTCCCCCTAGTGTAGAAGTCATACATGTTTATCCCAGCCAATCAGGGTCCCAGAAATCCCATCACTTCCCATATCCTCCCCCACTCTCCTAAACTCTTCATCTCTACTCTCTGCCTAGGGCAGCCTTGGGCCTTCCCTGACTATCTCCTAGCAACAGGCCAATGGTTGCCTCGGCAACCAAGAGTTCCCTACAGGTCTCGGAGGCCCAGCTAAGCCCAGTGACTTCCATTACCTCTCCCAGGAAGATCCTAGTGACTCAAACCCAGACAGGCCCCTCCTGCCTACGTGGTCATGTGGGCACATAAATGCACACATACACAAATACACACACACACACACCCTGTGATTAAACTAAATCTCCATCTATTCACAGACATACCACAGATATGCCTGTGCCAAAAGAGTTTCTGGGCAACCCCACACAGGCCTGGACGTGCAGAAACCACAGAAGGACCATCACGTAGACACAGGAGTCAGCAACACAGATGTGATCCAGGATGCCAGGGACCCACGCATCAGTCACACACATTGGCTGACACCATAACATACACATAAAGGAAATAAGACCAGGACACAAAAAGATACAGGCTTCCTTCCTATGGCCAGCTCCACCTACGAGAGAGGATCCTTTGGCTCGTCTTGGAATTTCAGAGAAGTGTTCCAGCCCCCTTGCTCAATGGGGATTCTCCTAACTCCTGATATCAACCTGGGTGGAGTGAGGCCTGTCTATAAGTAGCTCGGTACACAGCAAAGAACTCCACCTTCTTATGTTCCAGAGTGTTTTGGTCTCTCTTTGGCCAGCCTGCCCAGCCCTGGAAAGGAAGCCACAGTCAAGGAGACCAAATAGAAGAATGCAGTTTTCCCTCTCCCTCAGACCTCACTTTCCCTCCTAGGTTCTGCTGAGCTTCGTTTGGGCAGAGGTGTACCTCACTTTTCTAGATCCCCTGAATACTGATCTTCAACCAAGGAGATTACCAGAGGTCCCATCTCTGGCCACAAACAAGCCAGAGAACCTTTGGTGCCTTCATCCCCCAAGATAAGCACCAATCCAGATCCCTGAACCATCACTGCGCGCTTTCATAGGCTCGGGTTCGGGAATCCCCACCCCATTTGTGCTCCTGTCAGGTGCAGTGGGACTCCTGACTTTCACAGCTCCCACACCCGAGCTAGAAAGGGGCTTCCTTCTTTCTCCCATGCCCTGTCTTCCCCACAATCAAAACGGGAGGGCAACACCCTCAGTGGCGAACAAAACGCAAAGATCTGGAGTTGAGTAGGTCTTCAGGGTCTGGGAAGACAGAGTCCAGGCGGAAGCCATGCTCCAAAGCCACTCGCAGCACCTCCTCCAGGAAGCCTGGTGTGCCTACCACTTCCCGACGACGATCTCCTGGTCCCCCAGCCCACAAGGGTTGCAGCCCCAGTCTCCCGTACTCTCCTTCTGGGAGTTCTGCCGGACGGGGGGCCCACTCTAGATGAAAATGTGGGCCTCCTTCCGCCCTGTCTCCATTGGCCACACCAAATCGGGTCCTCAGGGCGCTCAGACACTCAGCGTCAGTGCAGAAGAGGTTGGCGCGGAAGGTGTCCACCTGGACGGAGCTCAGTTCGTAGTGGTGTGGGCCCTGGCGAGCGGAGAAGTGCACCAGGCGGGGGCTGACGTCTACATCTGCGTGGAGCAGGGCGGCCGTGGGTGCAGGCGATCCTTGCGAGGCCTCTAGCTCCCGAAGGGCATCCAGGAGGGGCTGGATCTGGTAGAAGTCAGCCTCAGCCCTCAGAAGGGCGGTCTCTCCATACCCACGGGGCAGGTCCAGTCGGCCCAGCCGCAGGAAATTGAGGATGTGCCGGAAGGCCTTGCCATCCCTGTCAATGAAGTATTGGCCGCCTCCTTGGGGGTTCACATTGGGAGGCACGGGGGTGTCAGCTCTAAACATTGCCCCCAGCATGGAGTCTGGGAAGCGGGTCAGGGTCTCCAGAGTGGTGGAGTATAACGTGCCCCCCACATTCAGGGTCACGGGGCCCCCAAAGGAAGGGGGCGAAGAGGGGACAGGAGGGGGGGAAATTTTGGGAGGTACAGAAGACAGGGAAGAAGGAAAGGCAGAATATCCTGGCAGTGTGTCGAATGGAGTGATCACAATTCAGATTCGATGGGTGGGAGGCAGGTACAGGTACAGGTAACCGGTTCGTAGCTTCACCCCCAGCTTCCTGGGTAGTAATAGGGGCGTTCAGGGTACAGAAATCCCCGCAAAGGTAAGAGAGCAAATGAACAGAGCACAGGACAGCTAGAGAGAAGGGAGTTTTCAGTCCAGACGTATCTGATTCTGCGCAGTCAGCGATTCTTTTCCGTGGTCTTTAGACAGTGGGTTTCCGGAATCCAACCAGCAGATGACGGTGGCGAGCACCGAACAGACTCGGGAGGGCTCAGCCACTGAGTTTCTGGGCAGATGGTAGTTGCCTTAGGCGAGGCCACACTGGGCTCCAGAGACCAGTCAGAGGCCAGGCCAGGCTCCGGGCACGGCTTCCAGGAGATGGAAGAGCTGCTGACCTGACCGGAGCGGAAGGCCAATCGCCTTGCAGCGGCCGGGCGCCGAGTCGGGAGGGTCCCAGGGCTCTGATGGAAGCAGCTGGGAGTCTCTCAGAACTTCCAACTCCGGCGCCTCCGCCTTTCCTAGTTATAGCCGCGGTTGCTGAGGTCCTCGCCACCCCCAGGAAGTGGCCTAAGGGCTGCGGCCGCTGGCCCTTTAAAAGAGCCCCGCCCCCTCGGGCCCCGCCCCCGCCCCGCCCCCGCGGAGCTCCCTCGGCCCCTGGGCCCCGGCGGGGGCGGCCGCGGAGCGTCGCGGCCCGGGAGGGACGGGGCGCGGACGGGGCGGGCGGGCTGGACGCGAGCGGGGGTGGCGTGACTCATGCGCGGCGCCCCGGATGTGGCTGAGACGGCCCACGGCCCTCCACGTGTGCCCAGCCTCACGTCTGCGCCCTGGCGGTGTCGAGGGCGCCCCGTGCCCACCGCCCCCAGCCGGAGGACCGAACCCCGCGGCTCCCGGGCATCCCCGAGGGGGCGAGTGCTGAGCCGCCGCATTCCGGGCATGCCTCCCGGCGGGCCGGGGTGCCCGCGGGGAAAGGAGGCCCGCGGCCCCGCCCCAGCGAGCGGCCTGACCGGGAGGGTCGGGGCCACCGCCCCCCGCCCCCCACTGGGTCCCCCGAGTGACCCGAGTTCAAGAACCCCCAGCTGCTCCCCCGACCCCGCGGGGTCACGGCACGTGCCCTGCCCAACGTGGCGCCCAATCAATGAATTACAAAGGGAAAAGCAAAGCGTGGAGGCTTTAGTGGCCGAAAAGTTCAAGGGGGGGGGGCTGGGCGGGACGGGTGGGGGGGGAGGGGGAGGACGAGCTCGCGATCAGAGCGTGTAGAGGTCGTGACTCCGACGGCTCAGCTTTTCTGGGTCGTCTGAAGCCATGAGGGAGAAGTCTCGGAAGATATCAAGATAAGTCTCATCTCCTAAAAGGAAGGGAGGGAAGTTTGGGGAGCCACATAGCCCCACCCCAGTTAGCAAAGGCGGGAGTGAGCGTGGGTGGAGCGCAGCTCTGTTCTTTGTTTTGAGGGCCTAGTGTGTCTGCTGGGCCTAATACATATTTGTTTTTTGTTTGTTTGGTGTTGGTATGTTTTGTTGTTGTTGGAGGAGGGGGATGTCTTGAACTCAGGGCCTGGGCACTGTCCCGGAGCCCTTTCAAGCAAGGCTAGCACTCTACCAATTTAAGCCCTAGCTCCATTTCCGGTTTTCTGGTGGTTAATTGGAGAAAAGAGTCTCAGGGACTTTTCTGCCTCACAGGTCAGCCTCTTGAGTGGCTAGGTGTGTCCAGCCCAATACATATTTGTTGAATAAACAATGGCATTAAGGCAACTGGACACCAGGGGGACAGATAAGCAAGGGCCAAATACAAGAATTCCTGCTGGGCCTGGGCTATGTGTGTGGGTGAATACTTTACCTCCCTGGCCCTGAGCCGCCTCAGCCTCCCTCATCTTTGCCAATCGTAGCCTGAAGGGGTGGGAATTACAAAATAAATGATGTTAGTTTCGCTTCTCCCCAACTCCCCATCGGTTCACCCGAATTGTGTTTCATTCATCTGTCTCGTCAGTATCTTAAAAGATTCCAGTCAGCAACTGTCAGTGGGTGAGCTCACCTTCCCACTCCATGCCCACTATCCACACAGGGAATTGCCTTTCTTTTGCCTAGCCACACCTGTCCCTGGATCTTAATGCCAAGTTTGGGTCCTGGCATTAGCCCCACCCTAATGGATAGATTGTCCTAACTGTAGCCCCAGCCTTCAGGCTTTCTTACAGAGTGACGATGTCAGCGTTGGCTGTTTCCATGGCGATGGTGAGAGGGTCCCTGCCCTCAGAGTCCTGAGCCCCCAAATCGGCACCCCGTTTCAGGAATAGGCAGGCAAGCCTGGAGAGAACAGCCAAATTCAGCCCTGTCCCCATTTCAACTACTCTCCCCACAGCTATCAACCAGCTGGTCCTACCCAGTGTGGCCTAGAATGGTTGCATGGTGGAGTGGTCCACGGCCGGCACTGTCTGCTTGGTTCACATTTGCTCCATTCTGGAGGAGAAACTCACAGGCCAGAAGAGAATTCTGCATGGAGGAGTCAACAAAGAACATCTTTTCTTCCTTTCTTTCTTTCTTTCTTTCCTTCCTTCCTTCCTTCCTTCTTCTTCTTCTTTCTTTCTTTCTCTCTCTCTCTTTCTTTCTTTTTTTGGTTGGTCATGGGGCCTGAACTCTGGGCCTGGGTGCTGTCCCTCAGCTCTTCAGCTCAAGGCTAATGCTCTACCACTTGAGCCACAGCGCCACTTCTGGTTTTTTCTGCTTATGTAGTGCTGAGAAATGGAACCCAGGACCTCATGCATGCAAGGCAAGCACTCTACCATTGAGCCACCTTCCCAGCCCAACAAAGAGCATCTTTACAAGTGAATTTCCAGATATTTTAGGGGTATGGTAACTAGGCTTAACTCTGCCTCTGTGTGTGTGTGTGTGTGTGTGTGTGTGTGTGTGTGTATGTGCCAGCCTTGGGACTCATGACCTGGGCACCATCCCTGAGTGTTTTTGCTCAAGACTAGTACTCTACACCACTTGAGCCACAGCACAACTCCATTTCCACTTTTTTTTTCCTTTGGCTAGTACTGGGGTTGAGCTCAGCTTTTTTCCCTCAAGGCTGGCACTCTACCTCTTGAGCCCTAGCTCCACATTCAGCATTTTGCTAGTTAATTGGAGATAAGAATCTGATAGACCTTCTTGTCCAGGCTGCTTCAAACAATGATCCTCAGATCTCAGCTTCCTGAGTAGCTAGGATTACAAGCAGTAATCTGGCTAGCTCTGGCACTTAATATATATACATATTGTCAGTTCTAGGGCTTGAACTCAGGGCCTAAGCACTGTTCCTAAGTGTCTTTTGCTCAAGGCTAGCACTCTACCACTTGAGCCAGAGCACCACTTCCAGGAACCCAGGTCTTCAGGCCTGCTAGACAACCACACTACCACTAAGCCACATTCCCAGCTCATAGTACATATATTTACAGTACATATTCATAGTCTCAGGTATTGAAGTCATGGGATCATTTTCAGATTAGACTTATTAGTTATGCTATCTGTATTTTACAGATTTGGAGACTGAGGCAAAAAGATTGTTAACTTGTTCAAAGTCACCTATAAATGGCCTGAATTCAAATTTAGGTTCTCTGCTTCTAAATCATACTCTTAGCAACCAATCTGTATTGCTTATTTTTCCCTATGGGGTGGGGATTATAGGAACTTTCAGGTAAGGTGGGGCAGAGAGGTCAGCATGGCTCTCACAGCAGCCGTGGCACGGATCAGTGGTGTGGCATTCTCCTGACCCCCATTGACCCAGTTGACATCAGCTCCATGGGCAAGGGCATCAGCCATGGTGGGAAGGGATGAAGGATGCCCAGCAGATCGGAACAGCAAGGCCCCAGGGTGCAGGCTTCCCAGGTCATCAGAGGGAGTCTCTGTTAGGAGTGAGTTTTGTTAGGGGAAATCAGTGCTGAGTCTGCAGAGAAAACCTTCAGCAGTCCCCTGATGTTGCAACGAGACAGGCCACTTCTAAATTGTGGGAGGCCTTTGTGAGTCAAGATTATGGTGACATGGGTGTGATTACATGTAAGTGTGTGTAGGTTTGTGGGGAGGGAGGAGTGGGGTTTAGCCAGCATCACCAACCTCATCCTGTCCAACTACCCCAACTGGCTAGGTGTCGTAGGTGAGCTGACTGACAGACTCAGCTCCCACCCTTCTTCCCAATGCCTTGGAAATCCCAAAGTCTCCTGCCTCTTCTCCTGCTGTAGATGTCTCTTATGTAGTCGCCCCTGCCCCATATTCCTCCCTGTATTTAGTGCTACATCCCATTATAAGACCCCAGTGGCCCCCTATAGGGCCTGGCACATAGAAGGCATTCAGCAAATGTCTAACCAACTCTATACCTGGCTTAGATACATTCCCTGGCCGGGGCTTGATACCAGGCTTTGGGGGCACAGGAGGATGCCCTCTTGGGGGTCCCCTGCCACCCCTTCGCCCTCGGATCTCAGGAAGCTTGGTCAGGAACTTCTTCTCTACATATTTAGCATGAATCCAGGCCTCCTTCTCCTGCCTGTTGGGGAAGAGAAAGGGAGCATCCTTTTTTCCCCATCTCCTCTCCACATGGAGGGGAGCCCTTGGCACCTGCACTCCAGCCTTACCGGGAGCAGGTGGGTCCTGGCTTCTTCACTGCCATGGCCTCCACACGGGCCTCATAGATCTGGTTGATGACAACATTTCCCAGCTCACACATAAGCTTCAGGGGGCCCAGCAGGGGGCAGACAGACAGACAGACAGAGGAAAAGGGAGGAGGAGACAGACAGAGGAAAAGGGAGAGGAAGAAAGATACTACATGATTAGATGTCTGGACCCTTCAGGGCTCCCCAATTCTTTGTTTTCACAGTCTTTACAATACCCCAGGTTACCTTGACTAGTTCTGGCTCCCAGGAGTCAAGGGTCAGAGATCGGACTTTGGAGAAGTGAACACCAAGGCTCCTAGAGGACCAGAGGGGGAATCATAGCCTCTAGAGCTTGGGAGACTG